GTGTGTGTGTGTGTGTGTGTGTGTGTGTGTGTGTGTGTGTGTGTGTGAGAATATTTTTCAAACCCTCATTGAAATCACATTGTCTACACAGGCACCGTGTGTCACGAGCCTAATCAATGAGCACTCCTTTGTAAAGGGGCTCTGAGCAGTCATCACTGAATGTACAACGTTGCTATTGATCTCTGTGATATGTTGATGAATTACTGTACACACCTCAGAGAAAAAGAGACCATTCTTACTCTTGGTGTTAATAAAAACACAGACGTATACTTTCAAAAAACAGCTCTTGAAAATGATTTACCGAACAACAAAACGTAGCAAGCATACAATTTATAAATGCCTTTCTGACAATGAATGACTTGATCTGATACCAAGTAAAACAATGCTGGATTTACAGAACCACCACTGATATTTTTCATCATTAAACACTGTTTAAGTTACAGCATAAACTCTGTGTCTTGTTTTTTTTAATTTATGAAACACATGGGATATCAGAATTAATATAGAAAGATAATATATAAAACGAAATGCATTCATCACAATAATATTACCATAATACTACTAATAGTTCTGCAATCAGTTTGCTCTAACCTACTTTCTAGACATACATGAAGTTACCACCTAATCCTGCTTCCTAGTACCTGCATAGACTATGAGGGCCCAGAGCTCCGCGCAGTGCAGGTCAGTCAAACTTGACTAAAATGGCCGCTCACTGGCGCCTCCCTGAGGCTCACCGAGTCTTCCTGCCTGCCCCAGGCGTCACACTGCAGAACTGTAAGTAACTAACGCATGCCTAGGTGAACTATTTAGTCATGAACACAGATCTGTTGTCAGTGTAACTGTAAAATGTAGTAATGGCGAGATTAAGCGTTATGACGCATTGGAGCTCAGTATAGGGTTAATTTCTCGAGGCTCCACGTGCACACAAAACCACCTGTTGGCCAAAAGGTGAAACAGGCAGATCTATTACAGATTATCTTAACCATTTAATTTATGACATAAGCTAATGGATTTTTTTGCCAGCAGGCTAATTATGCTGTGATTTCATCAAATCTTTTGGTCAATAATTGCATCCTGATATAATAATGGTAGGAGGGGCAATATCAGGGCAGTGATCGTGCTTCTGTGACTAGGAAAGTGAAGTAGAGGAGAGACTATTCCTTTGTTTTTTGTTTTATTCAGGAACAATCATTTCTCAACGTTGTTCGGCCTGGGCGTCATCAATGGCGTCACGATATTGAACATGGTACTGTACACTGACAAGAAAATGATCCCGGATCCTATGAACACAACTTCCTGTTATATTTACAAAGGCTATATTTTGATGACCTCACTGTTAAAATGTTAATAAAACATAGTTTAGACAACATACCGTTGGTTTACGGATTATGAAAGCTGAACATCTTCCATCCTGACGTTTTGTAACGAATGTGGACCTCAAAGCATCAAGACTGAATGATCTTACGTTTCAGAGTTGGTCCAGGATTAGTTTTAAATATTCCACGTTTTTTAATATCTTAAACGTGTCAGACCAGGAAGTCATGATTATGGAAGTTATATGGAGCAGCTGCAGGATTTGTCTCATGCCGATGACATCGAATAAGAGGCCTTATAACGTAGAAATTCAACCCTAGTTTGAACTCTCCGTTTAAATGAAGGCAACAATAGCATGCTTATACTGCCTGATTGCCTTTGGTCTTGTTCTACCCGCTAAGTGGCTAGTATGTTAGCCTCTTCAAGATGTTGGCCTCTCTCTCAGCTGCTGAATGTGTGAAAACAGAGAATCTCTGTTTTTGTTTCTGAAATCAAGCTTTACCTTCATAAGTGTTACGAACACAAGTTGTAGTTACATGTGATACTTCTCAAACTTCAGAAATCCACAACACCGGACCAGCTTTGCTTCCTCCAGTCTGAAGCACTGACGCACATGTTGCCCTAAGCAGCGAGTACAAAAGAAGTTGTTTGTAGTGTGTCTTCTTTTAACTCTGCAAAGATGAAAACTATGAGGTGTGATTTGTTCCTCACAGGGGATTTCCATTCCAGTTTTCTGACAAAAAAAAAATACAAGGCCTCCCATGAGAAAATGCAACAAAGCAGACGGTGTGCATCCCAGAGTTAAACCCACAGTCTTATCAGCCTCTGCTGTTTGTTGTGGCTGTTTGATTGTGTGTGTGTGTGTGTGTGTGTGTGTGTGTGTGTGTGTGAGATGGCTCAGGCATTTGACAGCGATCAACTGACTGTCACAGACAGCTGTGGAGATAACATCAGATGCCGTCGTCAGGTGACTGGCTCCTTGGAAGAGAAAGGGAGACTCAGGGCTGACGGTCGTCTTTGGGGAACGGCTCTGGTCGGCAGCTATTCTGGTTTAGTCGCTCTGACTGTTTCCAGGAAAACACAATTTGAACCTTTTTTTTTCTCTGGAAGACCCAAACATACACATTATGGCTGTATTTTTTGGAAAATCCAGACTAAACAGTTGGGAGTATTGTTATTCCCAGTGACTGTTCTGAAACTGTGTTTTAACCCCTCACTGTAATAACCTGCACATCGACAGGATGAGTATTATGGCTTTCAATGGGAAAAGGAGTTTGAAATGATGATAACCTGTTCCCTAAGATCACCCAGGGAGAATTGCTTACAATGGACCTAATCCATTGGAAGCAATTCTCTACTGTACGTGTGATTATTCTGCTATCCGGAGACCCCGCTGCCTCTGATACGGGGGTCTGCCTGCCTCCAATTACAACCCATTAGCCCCTGATTGATAGCATCACTGAGGGCTAATGCATCGCTATAGCAGAAAACAAGACAAGGAGAAAATTACAATAACTACATAAATGAATAAAACGCCACTTCTCATTACTCAAATCTGTACCTTCTATGAGTCATTTGAGTGACTAATGCAGTGTCTATCTGCAGAAGGAATTAAATGGCCGTACATGTGGACGATGGAGCAACACGTGGATCCAGTGAACACCATAAAAACTATATCGCCCCGTTGTAAAGTCTACTGCTCGTTGGAGCCACTTTGCTTATTTCTACACAGCGTTAGATTAGAGCCTTTTTGTTTTTAGTACGTCATTGTGACCGATAAGAGCTGCGGTTTAACAGTCATTATAAAATGTTTATGTGGAATGAAATGCCCGACCTGTTGTCCACGGTGTGTTACAACGTCACACTGCATGAGCATCACAGACACGATCAGTAACCGTAACGGTAAGTCGAGCTCTCTGGAGGCTTAGTGTTGGAGTAAATACTCCTTCTCTGCTCTATCAGTCTTTACATGAGCATCACACACTAAAACTGGCCTATTTGTACAAGAAACCACCTCCTTTCCTCAAACCCCCTACCTTGTTGAATCATTGCCCTCCTCCCTAATTCTCTCGTTTCCTTTGCCCTGACTGACAGTGTGACGCCTGGCCACTCTCCTGTCACGGGGCCCGCATTGAACGCCAGGCTATTTCTCCGTAATTATCAATTACGGGGCTCTGCTTCCACACCTGGAGCAGGCCAGGCTGGGAATGAGCTCAGCCCATTAGGATGGACCTCCGGCTGGGTTGTTTATGGAGGGGGCTGGGCTCTACCCTCTGGAGGTGTTAATGGGCCTTCTAGGGGTATAGAGTCAGCTGGCTGATCCATCAGAGTGTCTGATAACATGCTGCACTGCTGTTGGGAATTTAATGCCTATTTCTGGTTTAGATACGTGTCGTTATTTAGCATTATATGTACAGATTTTACATCTTTTATGGTCCGTTTCAAAGCTTTAAACCTTTTAACTCTGACATGAATTTCAAGAGATCATTTCAGAATGAAACAGATTGCAATGAAAGGGCTCTGGTATATTGCATTACGTACATAGATCCGTGAGAGATGCAGTAAAGGAGCACCAGATTTTACCCATTAAAGTCAATTTAATAGTGGCAAGGAGGACTGCACATCCTGTGCAAATTGTTGTAAAATTGCGAATTGTACAACGTTTTCTGTGGCTCTCGGAGTGCTTTGTAAAGTCTGAGAAAATTTTAAAAAATGACATCACTTGAACATCTCTGCTTAGGCTTAGAGACAAACTGTTAAATACAAATCCTGTGTTGCAAACTGGAGACATGGACGTGTTTTTTAAGCTAGATCCATGGTGGGGATTGATATATTAATTATTTGTGATACCTTATCGCCATTTCACTGTAGCTGATGGGTGTTTGCATTGGAGACCTCACATAAAACATAAAACGCTGAAGACGTAAAACAAGGGGTTAGGACATAATGACCATATTCATACGTTAAAAACGTAATTAAAAGCATTTAATGGTTGAATAGATAAATAAAATAAACAAACAATTGTTCCCATAGGGATGCTATCTGCACCATAAACCCAGCATGTTGCCAGCCCACATACCGTCACAGTGTCCTATGAGAATAGAACAGCAGTTGGGTTTTAGAAGTTAAGGAAATGAACAGATATGTGTTGTCTTTATCTGCCTCCGCGCTGGTGACGGCAAATTATGACAATTTCCCCCAAATGTCTAATAGGATAAAATTAAGTGATCACATTCTGGACAGACATGGATAGGTTGACCGAGGCAGACAATCACGAAGCAGTTTACAGTTTTATAAAAAAATGAGGAAATTGAATAGCCATAAACATGTTGTCAGTTGGCCCCCCTATCTGACCTCTCATACATTGATTTTGACCGTTCTTTGTAAAGAATCTGTCTATCGCGAGTCCCCTGACTTCATGGAAGTACAACACTACAATGCTGATACACTTCTCTATCTACTGAGAGGTCACAGTGTGCAGAGCAGGCTTTCGGATGAGAAATGTGGGGTCATCACCTATTGAATTTACTCAGAATGAACAAGTATGAGAACCACAGCCCGGATTTGTAACGGCATCAAGAAAGAATCTGCTCTCTGAATTATTGCCTCATCGCTCTGCTTAAGCGTCAGACCTCGCAATATTCAAGGCAATATATTCAGAAAAGGTGCCGCATTGAAAGACTGTAGCATGTCATTTGCGTGTATCTTTATATGAAGTGATCAAGTATGACATGCATAGATCACTGCTTCTGTGTTGCATCTGTACCCTCCACCTGCCTCTTTCTATTCATGTACGAAGACACAAAAATAGATCCACGTCTTTTCACCCTAGAATGCAAATGGATTGACTTGGCCTCTTATCATGACAATAGTCGCTCTTTGAAGCCCGTCTCGTCTGTGCTCTATTCAACTGTTGGCGGCGGTTAGGTGAAAGAGTCAGCTTACGGCAGCCATGTTCTATATCATGCAGAAGATTGAAATGAAAATGAGGCACTTCTCAGAATAGCTGCAGGCAAAGGGGGGGTGGGGAGGGGGGGGTGGATCTGGTAGTAGGAGGATTGAGGGTGACGGGGGTGAAGATATACGTTCTGACTTTCTGTGTATTCTAGAGCTCACGGGTTGTTTTGAGTCTTTGCCAGGCTGAATGCTTCTGAGATATGTCACAGGTGTCGATGGATTGAAAAGCGTGGTATGCGCCACATTAGCTTTGCAATTGGTTTAGGCTGTGTGAGTGTGAGAGAGACACGCAGAGCAGGTGTGTGTGTGTGTGTGTGTGCGCGTGTGCGCTCGTGAATACAAACACCCATTTGTGTTATTGTGTGTATATTTTAGCCGCCCTCCCTCCCTCACCACATCGGTCTGTCTGCTGTGTGTGTAACATTGTGTCTGTGTGTGTGTGTGTGTGTGTGTGTGTGTGTGTGTGTTTGCATATTTTGTTGGGAGGAAAACAAGGGAGGAAATGAATGACTAAGACTTAGCTTTGCATTTATTCTTTTATTATAGAAGCTCTATGTTTCACAGAAGATTGAAAATATGCTTAATGCATTATAAATAAACTGCTTGTGAAAGATATTTCATTTTTATGTACATAGCCTTTTATATTGCTGCCAAAAAATCCATTATCCCCAATGATGGCTTCTCGTAAGCATAATTTAACAGCATGAAATCAAAGACTGTCGACACAGTGCTTTGATCATCTACTGTAGTAATGCTCTGTGCTTTGCATTTCCACTCTATACCTTTGCTGCTTTTGCTCACAGTCTGACAGGGTTCTATATTTCTCTAAGTGTCAACAAATTCCTTGAAAAGGCCAAAACCAACAATAAATCGATCCACTAACAAGTGCACCCAAATCCTGATATATGTTATTCCTCTGTGCCATAGAGTGCATGCTTCATTGGGTGACGTGTTCCCTTATCATGAAGAACATGGGTGTAGTTTTTTTTTCAGTTAGTCACACACACACACACACACACACACACACACACACACACACACACAATCCTGCTGCTGTAAATAATTACTAGAGCAAACGTGTATCAATTGGCAGCTGAAAATAGTCCCCAACAAAGGCTCTATTTACTTCTGTTAGAGAGACATTTTCTAAAAACTATACAGTTCCCGGCTCTTTTAGAGAATTTGTCCCCCTTCTCTTAAATTTGAGCTTTATATTCATGTTTTTAAAGTTCTACCGGTTTAGGAACCACAGGGCTGAGTGCAGACAAAATAGAAAAGTCAAAGAAATAACGAGAAATGCGCAAACAAATTGTTGTTTTCTTCTTCTTTTTATAAGCTTCGTTGATGTCAGCAAAACTGTAGAAAAGTTCAGACGTATCCTCTTCAGAGCATGTGAAGTTGTATGTCACAGACAGCTGTAAATATGTGCAATAATTGAACCATTTCAGAAAATTACTGAGCCTTTTTTTGAAGAATCGCACTATATATATTTCTGAGACATACTTAAGTTTTGTGTCTTCAGTACAGAAAAAAGATTGGGAAGCAGACTAAAATGTTGTGTTTCATCTTGATTTTTTGAAAATAAGAAACATTTAGAGTAACACCAGTCTTGTCCTTTGTCAATAACATGTTTACAGCAAGATATAATTGAAACAAGAAAGTTATGTTATAACAAGTAAAACTGACATAAGTGGAACTAGAAGTCATCCTGATAACCATGAGTGATGTTGCCGTGATGTGTCCACACACCCTCGGTGCATTAAGCCTCCCTGCTGTCCCCTGTTGTGCTTCACTGGGGCCGAGGGATATGTGCACTGACGCAAGCTCCAGTCTCTCTTGAGCAGCCATGCAGGTAAATAAACTGGTGATTGTGTGCTGAGGGAGGACATCACATGCGCAGATGAAAAAGCCTGTTGATTACTGATCGTCTAGCCCACGCTAATAATGCTCCCTGTCCAGACTCTCAGCCTCGAGATGAGCTCTGGATCAATCTTTAATACGGTGACTGAAATACAAATTCTGTATTGACCTGCTGGAAAATCCTCCTCCGACCAGCACCATTTATTTGTATTTAATTGCATCCATGTACGCGCTTGGCAGCCAGTCATTGATTTCAATATAGGAGATGATGAAAATGGTCTTTCACCTTAATTACTGATCAATTTAAAAGAAATTGAAACTCTCCTGCTATTTAATATGTAACAACATCTCTGCTCTCTGCTTGTGTTGTTGATGACTTATTGTTAGTTCGTGCCACTAAGTGAGTCTGTGGCTCTGACGCATCTTTTACTTGGTCAGAAGAGCATGGTCACTTCCCTTGAGTTTGTTCCCTTATTACCGTCTGGGGAATCTTTGAGGCTTAGTAGATAGCTTGGTCGCTTTGTAGTCGCCCCAAACTGCAAACAACTCAGCTCAATGTGTTCTTAAACCTCATTTATTTGTGAAACATCTGCGTTGTTTGTTATTTGACTCAGGGCTAAACTATTCCGACGTCGGACATGTGTGGAAGAAAAGCTACGTGTCACAACCGTGACTGTGTGAGATGACTTATTTCTGGTTCTTTCATTCCTTGCTTGTGTATTAGCTGCACATATGTGTCTTCTAACACTTTGGGTTAAGGAAGGTTAAAGTGGGACCACACACACACACACACACACACACACACACTCATTAAGACAATAGCTGTCATTTCCAACAATGCGCCAATTAGAGTGTATCCTGGGCTAACAGCGTGCTTCGTTGGGGGCTCATTCCCTCTCGTTCTTCAATCCAAATCTTTGTCAGCTCAAATGAAAAGCACTTGTAACATCACAAGGACCTATCCACCATTATCCCTCTTTACTATTATTCATCTCCAATAAGCGCCACAGCTCCCCTCAGGGCGACAAGGCGAGGCTTGATGCAATTCAATCCTAATCAGACACTGTTTGCCTGTTTTTGAGTTGGCTGTTATGTTCTCTCACGATGTGAAAGGCACAGCGCCTCAGGCACAGCTGACTGCGACGGGGCCCCCACGAGGGACCCTATGGTCGCTCCATGGGGAGGAGTCCCTAATCCGGGATTATACTCCCAGACCAGCAGCCAGCTGGATTAGGAGATAGTCGGTGGAAAAGGGCACCGTCAGCACTCTTTCCTGAGCAGCTCAGTGGATTAGAGCCGCCGCAGACGCCGAGCTGCCTGCGAGGTGCAGAGAGCGAGAGGAAGGTCCCCTCGCAGCTACACTGCAGCACCATACATGGAGATGGAAACAAGGGGATGGTTGAGTGCACACTCATGCACGACGAAGAGTTGGTTTTTCCATTCTTGACTTGGGGTGTTCAAATATGGTGTCAGGAGATAATGGTGGGCTTTACGGGTGGTTGGTGCTCAACTAAATTGAGGAAAAAAGGAAATTTAAACAAAAACTGCATTCACACATTTGTAGATATTTCTGCAGTAAAATCCACATCTCCCGGCCCTGCGTGCGGGCCGTACTGTCCGACAGATGACAGCTTCCATACAGCTGCAACCTGCCATCCCTCATTAGAGAGATTATCTGCATTACAGTCTGTGTGGGTGTGCGTTTGTACATTGTGCAGTGTGTGTGTGTGTGTGTGTGTGTGTGTGTGTGCTGGTGAGAGAGAGAGAGAGAGACACTGTTTGAGAGCAGCAACTGGTTGCATTTGTATACTTTGTGTTCACTGTGGTCTGTGTGTGAAACCGAGTGCAAGATTGCAGCAGCAGAGCAGCGTCGGATGCCCCAGCTAGTTTCTACAGCCGGTAATCGGCTACTATTGATTGCAAAGTAGTCAATGAGAGTAGAGTCTCAATGTGCCCTCAGAGCTGCCGCGGCCCGATCGATCACGGCTTGCTGCTGAGCCTTTGTGTGACCGGCATAATGGAATGTGCACCGCAATGTGAAGTGTTTGCTTTGCTTGATAAGAACAAAAGAACATCTCCTTTTTCAGAATTTGTGTCCGTTGTTGGTCATTTTTCTTCATCTTTTTTTTTCCGTCACCCACGCAGTCAAAAGCAATTTGTTTGTCACCTTGCAAACAAATGCGTGTGTTCATCCATGAGACTGATATGCATGCGACCACATTACCTCCCCATCACAACCACATCCTGTCAACTTAATGCAGAGAAAGAGGCCATATTGAAATTGCCAGGTGCCTAATTTGGTCTTTGTTGCACATAATTGAAACCACTCATCCCTCCCCCTACGGAAGGGGAGAAAGAGAGAGAGAGAAGAGAGAAAGCGAGAGATAATTGCCTTATAAGGCAGTAGGCTGTTATGAACGTGACGTCCCATTCCCAGCAGCGTGCTGGCAGATGATACGGTAAAGCCCACATCTCATATCCATCTGAAGAAAGCTGGCTCTCACAGGCTTTGGTTTGATAGCTCCAGCTGTCTCGTTTAGGACTGCATGTGTGTGCATGTGTGTACACACACATACATATATATATATATATGTATGTGTGTGTGTGTGTGTGTGTGTGCGTGTGTATATGTGTGTGCTTGAAGGGGGGATGGTGTCTGTGGGTGTGTGTGTTTTTGAGGGGTGCATGTATACCGTGTTATTGACTCCTGAATTACTTCTCTGCCGGGGGATTTTGCTGGAATTTTATGTGTGTGTGTGTGTGTGTGGCGGCGGGCAGGAGAACATAGTCGATGAATAGAGGTGTGTGTGTGTGTGTGTGTGTGTGTGTGTGTGGAGACAGTTGCTGAGTCAGGTGGGTGATTTACAGTGTAAGTATTGCAGTGCAGGTGTAGATGCGCACACACACACCCATGCCACATGTAATATCTTTTCTTCTTTTATTTTTCTGCCAGCATTCCACCTCGTCTCTTCCCTCGTCACTCTGTCTGTCTTCCACATCCTCCGATCCTGTCCTTCTTTCCCTTCCTCCCCTTCTTGTTGCAACCCTGTCTGTTGCTCCTCTCTCTCCCGTCTCCATCACTATCCCTCGCCGTTTCCCTGCATCTTGGCGTTCCCCTCCCCCAACCACGCAGCCGGGCTGGATGTATGTGTGTGCATGGATGAGTGTGAGTGTGTGTGCGTGGATGAGTGTGTGTATGTGTGTGTGTGCGCGTGCTCGCATGCTCCCAGCTGGGGGCAGCAGTAGGGAGGGATGTTCTTTGGGGAAATGGAGGACGGTATGCAGTCTGCTCCTCTTGGAAAACTGTCAGAGTATCATCTCTCCTTCTCTCAATCCTTTGTCAACTGTGAATTTCTTCTTCTTGTCTTTTTTTAAACATATTTCTGTTTCACTGGATCTGATTTTTCTGCTAAAAACATTTCACTCTACCTGTCACCCCCCCCCCCCCCCTCTCT